TGGGCTGCCAGTTCATCCTTGCCAGCATGCAGAAACCTGAGGGGCTGCCCCAGATCACAGATGTGGTGCTGGACAAGGTCGGTCTGGCCCTGGAAATTGGGGGAGCATGGGTGGTGCCTGGGTGGGGTTCTGGCTCTGCTGCCCTGTTCCTTGTCAAGGCAGAGCTGGGGCTTCCCTGCTGTACTCGGTGTCCCATTGTAACATCTACAGTGAGCCTTGAGCCTGGGGGTGGTGTGTGGGGGCACTTCTGGGGCCATCTTTCCAGTTCCTTGTCCCGGCGCTGAGGCTGGGGGATGGATCCATCCCGCTCCTCTGCCCCCCGGGCATCCTCAGCCCTGTGTACCTTCACAGGCCCACAAGACCCCACTGCGGGCGCTTGACCCCATCCGCCTCAGCGGTATGAACTGCAGCCCTGACTTCACCCCCTCCTTCGCCAACCTTGGGCGGCCCGTCATGGGCAACCGGGGCCTGGTGAGTATCTCCTCACTTCACCCATACCTTCCACCTCTGCCTCTCCGTGATGATCAAGCCTTTGAGCCGCTGTGTCTGGGCCACTGATGTCCGTGATGGAACTGAGGATCTGAGCAGGCGGATGGGGACACCCCCACAGCCAGCCCGGCTGGTCATAGAGCACAGAGCTGAGTTTCTTCTCCCTGTCTCAGCCCTCAGGCTTGGGTCCCCGCCGCTCCCAGCCCAGCCAGAGGAAGGAACCTCGCAAAATCATTGCCACTGTGTCCCTCAATGAGGACGTCAAGCTGAACAAGGCCGAGAAGGCCTGGAAACCCAGCAGCAAACGTGCCTCTGAGGAGGAGGATCCTGAGAACATCAAGACGCAGGTGGGAGCTGGGGCAGGCTAGTGATGGGAGAGCAGGGGGGACATGCCTGGCTCTTGCTGACCCTGCTGTCCTCGCAGGAACTGCTCCGCCGCGTCCGCAGCATCCTCAACAAGCTGACGCCCCAGATGTTCCAGCAGCTGATGAAGCAGGTGATGGAGTTGTCCATCGACACGGAGGAACGGCTCAAGGGTGTCATCGACCTCGTCTTCGAGAAGGCCATCTCGGAGCCAAACTTCTCTGTTGCCTATGCTAACATGTGCCGTTGCCTTATGGGGGTGAGCAGGAGATGGGGGGATCTCCCGCTGAGCTGGCAGGGGTCTGTTTGGGGGCTTCATCTGAGTTCAGCACCTTCTGTGTAGGGTGGGGAAACGGGGTGTGTGGATGGAGGACCAGGTCCAGACTCTTAGCAGGGCGTCACGAGGGTATAGGGTGGCTTTTCCCTGGTTTGAGTGGTGCCTGGGTCTCAGCTGGTGGCCGACTTTTGAGGGAGACAGGACTCTCATGCTCCTCGCCTGAGTTGTACCTCTCCCTGCAGCTCAAAGTGCCCACAACAGACAAGCCCACAGTGACTGTGAACTTCCGCAAGCTGCTGCTCAACCGCTGCCAGAAGGAGTTCGAGAAGGACAAGGACGACGACGAGATCTTTGAGAAGCGGCAGAAGGAGATGGACGATGCCAGTGCTGTGAGTTGGGGTGGGAGGCTGCAGCTGAGGGCTGGTGTGGGCATCCTCAGGGCGGCTCTGGACTCTGAGCTGCCCTGCCATGCCCTCCCTGCAGCCCGAGGAGAAGGCGCGCATGAAGGACGAGCTGGAGGAGGCACGGGACAAGGCCCGCCGGCGATCCCTGGGCAACATCAAGTTCATTGGAGAGCTCTTCAAACTGAAGATGTTGACAGAGGCCATCATGCACGACTGTGTGGTGAAACTGCTCAAAAACCACGATGAGGAGTCTCTTGAGTGCCTTTGCCGCCTGCTTACCACCATTGGCAAGGACTTGGACTTTGAGAAGGCCAAGGTACCCCTTGTTCTGCCCTGTGCCTTGCCCTGTCCTTGCCTTTGGGAGGGATGTGACCGTGACTCTGTCCCTCTATAGCCCAGGATGGACCAGTACTTCAATCAGATGGAGAAGATCATCAAAGAAAAAAAGACATCATCCCGAATCCGTTTCATGCTGCAGGATGTCATTGACCTCAGACGGGTAAGGCGCGTGGCCTGCTGTTGCCTGGGGTCTGTCCTCTGTCCCCTGCTTGGTTCCATGGAGCTGCTGGCCTATGTTCTTGAGTGCCAGCAGTCACTGGGTGCCTGGAAGAGCAAACGTGGGTGTGTCAGCTGTGATGAGCCCCAGAGACGCCATGCTAGCCCCCAGCCCTTGGTTAGCATGGTAGTGGTAGTGGGCACACAGTAACTGGCAGCTGTTTAATGCAGGGGGGCTCATGAAACTGAGCCCTTTTGTGCCAAAAGCTGCCACAACACACAGGGAGCTGTGCTGGCCGAGGTGGGAGACTGGCCTGAGGCTTTGAGGGTGGGGTGGCTGGAAAGGGGGAATGTCTCTGCCTCCATTGTCCAGCCAGCTCAGTGCCCCCTGCCCTCCTCCCTTGCCCTCTGCAGAATAGCTGGGTGCCGCGGCGAGGAGACCAGGGCCCCAAAACCATTGACCAGATCCACAAGGAAGCAGAGATGGAGGAGCATCGGGAACACATCAAAGTGCAGCAGCTCATGTCTAAAGACAAGAGGAGAGGACCCCCCGGGCCATCCTCCAGCAGTGAGTGCCTGGGCTGGGGGGCACCTGAGGCTGCCAGGGGTGGGTTGTTCCTGCTGGCCACTGCTTGAGGCTGGGCTGTTCCTTACGTCTGTCCTCCTTGTGCCCAGGCGGCCGTGGGAGCCTAGTTGCGGACGATGGCTGGAACACGGTGCCCATCAGCAAGGGCAACCGGCCCATCGATACCAGCCGGCTAACGAAGATCACCAAGGTGAGGCTGGGGGTGCAGTGTGTGCAGTTGAGCTGGCTGCCTGGTGGGGTTCCTGCCTCGGTGTGGGGTTCAGAGCTGACTCTGTCTCTCCACCTGCAGCCTGGATCCATCGACTCCAACAACCAGCTCTTTGCGCCAGGTGGGCGGCTGAGCTGGGGCAAAGGCAGCAGCGGAGGCTCTGGCGCCAAGCCTGCAGATTCAGGTAGGCAGCGTGGGGTCAGTTGGGTGCTATTGGACAGGGCAGGAGGGGGGATCATTCCCCTGGCGGTCCCTGTACTGGTGAGGTGCTGAACTCTGAGACTCCCCTCTTTTCACGCCCAGCATCTGATTCAGGGCGACCGGCCACGAGCACCTTGAACCGCTTCTCAGCGCTCCAGCAGTCGCCCCCTGCCGAGAGTCCGGAGTCCCGCCGCGTGGTGCAGAGGTGAGGGGCCAGCCCTGCTTTGGCACGTGGGGGTGTTGGTCTGCAGCCCAGAGGGGGAAGTCCCCTGGTCAGGCAGTGGTCGGTCAATAACGTGGGCAAACAGAGCCTGGTGTCTGGGCTGGAATAACCCCCTGGGGCAGGATGGGGCTTTGGTCAGGCTCGGAGTTGGTGGTGAGTCCTTGGTGCAAAGAAGGCAGACACCACCCTGGGCTTCTTCCCTGTTGTTTGTCACTTGGGGGAACACACCTAGGTGCTGGGTCTGGTCTGGGTGTCCCAGGACCCAGATGGACATTGATGGGCGGGAGAGAGTTCTATGGAGGCTGGAGCACGAGGTCTCCAAGGAGAGTTGGAGTTGGGTTTGTTCAGGGCAGTTGGGTTTGTTCAGGGGGGATCTTGCCACAGTCTGCAACAGGAGGAAGGTGTGGACAGGATGGGGCCAGGCTCAGCTCAGCCACACCAAGGGACAAAGCGAAAGACAAAGAGCATGAGATGGGACAGGGGAGAAACAGGGAGAAGTGTTTTCCCCTGAGGGTGGGTCAAGTGCTAGAAGCAGCCCTGGAAAGGGCTGGGATTGGAGTGGGACAGCTTTGCCTCTCAGATCTCTGTAGTCTGGGGTCAGGGAGGGTGGTGATGGGCTCTTCATGCTGTGTCTGTCCTCCCACCCAGGAGCAGCTCCAGCCGCGACAGGTCAGAGAAGGCTGGGGACAGAGGGGACCGGGAGTCACGTTCGGAGAAGGGCAGCGACCGCCTGGAGCGTCCCGACCGGGGGGAACGGGCAGACAGGAACAGGTCTGCCCTCACCAAGAGGAGCTTCAGCAAAGAGACAGAGGACAGGAGCCGAGAACGGGAGAAGCAGGGCGGCCCCGAGGCCGTGCGCAAGGCTGCTAGCATGACGGAGGAACGGGACAGGAGCAGAGAGACCAGTGAGCTGGGGAAGAGTTGTGTCTGGGGGTCTGCCTGTCCTGGGCGGTGCCTGATCCTTGTTCTCTCCTCACAGTTAAGCAAGAGCCGGCACCTCTGGCAGCATCCCCCAAGCCTGCGCTGTCGGATGAGGAGCTGGAGAAGAAATCCAAGGCGATCATAGAGGAATACCTGCACATCAATGACATGAAGGTGAGAGGAGGGGTGGCCAGGCACAGCACCCCAGCAACAAGCCATCTGCTTCCCTGGGTGGTGCCGGCAGTGCCTTAATGAGGAAGGGGGGAACAGAGGCTGGCTGTGGGGCGGTAATGACCCCCTCTTTTCCCTGCAGGAGGCCCTGCAGTGCGTGCAGGAGCTGGGCAGCCCCTCCTCGCTCTACATCTTCGTGCAGAATGGCATTGAGTCCACGCTAGAGAGGAGCACCATCTCCCGCGAGCACATGGGGGTCCTGCTGTGCCAGCTGGTGAAGGCAGGCACGCTCTCCAGGGAGCAGTACTACAAAGGGTGAGGGGCTGGGGCAGCCTGGCCCAGAGCTGCTATTTGTCCGGCTTTGAATTTGTCCCTCCCTTGAGCAGGGCTCATCACTGAGACCTCCCGAGGTCCCTCCCAGCTGAGGGCACAGGGGGGCTGCTGGATCCCAACGGCCCCCCTCTGCCCTGCAGGCTGCGGGAGATCCTAGAGGTTGCGGAAGACATGGAGATCGACATCCCGCACATCTGGCTGTACCTGGCTGAGCTCATCACCCCCATCCTGCAAGAGGAAGGCATCCCCATGGAGGAGCTGTTCCGGTGAGTGCCGTAGCCTTCTGTGGGCCTGCCACAGGGTCCCAGGGGGGCTCGTGGGGGCAGGTAGCTGAACCAGGTCCCTTCTGCCCCGCAGGGAGATAACGAAGCCCCTGGTGCCCATTGGGAAGGCCGCCACGCTGCTGGTTGAGGTGCTGGGCTTGTTGTGCAAGGGCATGGTAAGTGTGGGACTGGTGTAGCTGCTGGCCACTGCCTCAGGACTCGGGGGGGGGGCAGGTTGTCATGGAGGGGTTGACCCCCTCTGCCACCAGAGGGGATGGCGGGGCATGTCCCTTGCTGTGTCTGGGTTATGGGAGTGGTATGGCCAAGCCGCAGGATCCTCCTCCTGCAGATGGAGGTTGTGGGATGCTGATGTCCACTGTCTGTCCTGCAGGGCCAGAAGACTGCAGGCAAGCTGTGGCGGGATGGGGGCCTGGGCTGGGAGGGAATCCTGCCTGAGGACCC